GGATTGAGTATGATGAGAAGGCTGTCATTATTCTTGCGTCAGCGTTTTGAGCCACTAAGAAAGTGTAGGTGTCGCTATCAACTTGAGCGTACGCCAGCGTTCTCAGCGACTGCCCGCGAAAAGCTCCAAAATATCCGCGAAACGCTAAAAACGCTCAGGTAAGTTCAAAACGCCAGATCGAGATCTACACTTTCCTAGTAGCTCGAAGCGCTCAGCTGCTGTCGCTCAACACGCTGACCAACTTATGAGCTTGTTTTGACGCTAAACGCAGACCCTTTCACGTACATCCAAGGAGCCACTGTTTTCTAAAGCACACATCGGCAGCGTGCCAATAGCTGCACTACCAGGCCATGTAGTGAACATGGTAGTAGCCCGCAATAGGTGCTGTATCTATAGCGGATTTAAAGGCGGGTGAAAACTAAAGGAATACCCATCACCACAGCCCTTAGGTTCATTTCCGCGTACGAGTAGCCAAAGTGGCAACGTTTCCACCCAGTAGATTCCGAACTCACCTTCTTACTGTATTCGGCTTGATGTTGTCGAGCCTTAACGTCGTGGGTGGACCCATAAGTGTCGGAACTTCTACGGTGCATCCACAGAGAGCATCTCGTAACGCTATACGATGAGTATATCGTAGATCGCATGCTTCCCTTTTGAACGTTTTATGTGGCTTGTCCTGAAACAGCCAACGATTTCAACCCACATCGTAGTACATACAGACTGTTCTACTAGATTTCTCACAAATTTGTACCTTAATGACGAAAACAATGTCGGCTGGTACTCTTCCGGGATGTTGATCTCCTTCTTTCGGGAAAGTGATTTTGGTACCACTTTTCCAACCCGGTTTAATGTTGATTGTTAAAACTTTATCCTCCACTCTGGTTGAATGACCGTCGGCATTCAGTACTTTCCTGAATCGATAACATTCGTTTTCGTTGTCGCATTAATCAAGCAAGCCTCTCACATGATCACCACAACGAACTTCCACCAGTCGCTCGTAAAAAATGCCTACCTCGTGATTTTCATTTTCTTCGTGCACCCTTGGTAAATATCCTCAAGGCTAACTTGTAGCTCGTGCTGTACAGTAGGATCCTGCTTGGGAGCTGCTGAAATGGAGCAATTAAATCCGACTGAGAAAGGTGTGAAACATTAAACCGCAAAAAATATATTAGTAACATACATCTTCGATGTCCATGAGGCATACCGCCACCAAATGCCGAAAAGCCATTCATACCATCGTCCATACCTCCGCCACCCATATTGAAAAAGATATTCGGACCATGGCCACCACCCATTCCGAAAATACCACTGAATGGATCTTCTGAGCCGAAGAACTGCGTGAACATACGCATTGGATCGCCTTGGAACTGAAAGGACATATTATTCCACAGAGAAAACGAAATAACTGCTGCTGAGAAAATAACCGAAATGAGGACCTGAGAGGCAATGGACAAACCTCGTAGTGGAATCCACCTGGTCCTCCCACGTCGGGACCGCCGTTCTTGAGACCGTCTTCACCAAACTTGTCATAGACTTCCTTCTTTTTAGGATCAGACAATACATCGTAAGCCTCAGCGATCTCCTAAATCTGAAAGCTTGAAGCCGGCTACTGCCCGTTCAATTTAGTTGAATCATATTAAGCCGGAACTTATTCTTTATAACTGGTGAACACCCTACTTATATGAGCACCCCGAATGGGGAACCTTGGCCTAGAAGGCCTAGAATTTCAGGCTCTCATTCTGTGTACTTTTCGTGTGTTCTTATCGAAGTAAGGGGAACTGTTTCAAATAATAGTGTTTGAAAGGACGACAGAAGATACGAATACGCCAAAAAGTCTAAAAAAAGCTGCTGCTGTGTCTAAAAACTTTTCATCTGCACTGTCGTGACCAAACATAAACACGCCTTATACTTTGTAGAACAGGGCAAATAGAGTAATTAAAGAGTAGGAATTAATAGGTAACACAAGATTACACGTCAAAAGCAAAACTGACACACCACAAAGTTACAGTTACCTCCGCTTCCGGCGCATTGCTACCCGTCCCCCTTAGGCCGCGCACATACTTTGCGACTGTGAAGAATACATAAATCCGGAGAATCGGGCAAATGCTCGGAGTGAGACAATGCGAATAGGTTGACTGCGCTCAACCGCTGAGCTTTCCTTCTCCTTTTCTTTCTTTTTTTCCTCTTCCTTTTTCTTCCTCATTCTTTCTTTCCCTTCCTTCCTTCTTTGCTCTCTTCTCATTCTCTCCTTTACAAATGCTCGACGAGAGCATGAGATGAAGAAATAATTCTCGACTTTTGCAGCAAGAGAAGACCCGACAAAAGCCCTGCAACCTAAGAGGATCAATACGAAACCGTCTAATTTCGTCTACTCTTCCAAATCGCAAACACCTTTTCCATTTTTTCCCGATTTCCAGTTTTTCAGCCAAGAATTTTCCGTCGAGCGGGTGGAGGGAGGGGGGGGGGGAGGAGGTCGTCAGGGTTTAACTTTCATTTTCAACTGTCGGAAGCATAGATCTTTGGTCTCCCCAACAACGATCAAATACTCCCCCCCCCACCTTATAGCGTTCGTGAAAAAAGAGAAGATCAACTATCGAAAATTTTTTTTCCTTAGCAAATAGGACCCCTTACGCCCTCGCGGTCAAACACGACCCTCTCCATTGTGATCATCGCAACGATGGCGTGCCCTACTCTGCGAGGAGGGAGGGGAATGGGTGGATAAGTTATTCCCACCTAATCTTTCGACGCGCTTTCTCTCATTCACCATATTCTCTGAATGTGAATGTAGCTTTAGTGGATCAGTACCGGCAACTTCTAGAAACGAACTGTAACCGTATTATAAGCGACAGTTTTTGAACCACACCAAATGATGTTCAAGACGAATACGCTTCGCTGAAGAAGAATGTGGCAGGAAAGAGATGAACGAAACACATTATATTCAGAATAGCATCAGAAAAACAAACCGAATGATCAAGAAATTTCCGCAGGAATATGCTGAAGTTCCGCATGGAAACTGCAACACCAACCTTCTGGAGGAAACCCATATACTGTACCAAACCCTCGGAAAGTGGAAGTTAAAAACGGATAAGCGGCTTACACAATGAGTTTATGAAGACACTAGCGTTGGATTTTCACCACCCTGAGCTTCTGTAAAGGAAATCACGATTCATTCACTCTAAAAATGTACTATTCTGCTGCTTGGAAAAACAGGCAGACGTAATGTCCATCATTTTTGAAACATCCCATTTAGAAAACAGTGTTCAGTTTAGTATGAGAAGTGTCTGGAGTAATGTGAAAAACATCCGTGACCTGAAGTATAAAAATGATTCCAAAAATGTCGAAAGCGACAGACTCGTTCGAATTTTTTTTGACGAGTGTTTCATCATCACATTCCATTTTTCTTCTTTGTTTCGGTTCGAGCATATTCCGATCCAATTAGTGTGTAGAACAGTGTGAGAAAGCTGTTCGAGACAAAAAATATTTCACCTTGATATGCATTTTTTTTCTCGCGCTGCATGAAATATTTTTCACGAAAAACTCAAACGTCTGCCTTCTCCTTCACAGCTGCGATTAAGCGCGTACTTCGGGCAAAAGTGTTAGTTTATGCTTTGCTGCAGGGTTTCGGGGGCTTTAGCTTTTGTAGCGACAACAAGTATAGGTATGCGATTCATCCGATTGAGCGTCCCCACCCCACTTCATGAGGAAGCTCCAGGCTTTCAGCGGTAAGCATGCTCTTACTGCCCGTAGATGGCTGAAAAACGCTGGTAGTGCTAAAGCGCTTGGATTGTGTCTAATACTGACACTATCCTCATAACGCTCCAATAACGTATCGGGCGCAGGTCGCAAAGTTGGAACGCACTTTTAATGGACGTATTTCATTCTCTGATTGGATTATGCGGGGCTGTTGTAGAGACGCTGCCTCGAGCTGCGCAAGTGTAATTTTTTCGGCATCTATCCACAGTAGCTTAAGGGAGAAGGTAGGCATCTACTAGCACAGTAGCTGAAGGAAGGAGGTAAATGAGGAGGGAACAGAGAAGGAATGAAATAAAGGAGGAGAAAAATAGAAAGAGAAGGGAGGCTCCGCGGTTGAGAAGTGCCCTGAGACGCTCTGATTTACGTCAGTCACAGCAGTTCCAATGATACCTTTTCGCGGCTATCTCTAGCTGACTTTGATCAACCGCTCTAGGCTACCGAAATCGACTAAGAGGCGAACAAAACAAATGGCATGCTAGTTGAGTGCCATGATGGCAAATAGTAATTCACAGTGAATCTGATAGTAAAGCTTTAACCCAACACCAGTTTTTTAAATCTCAGGATATCTCTGAAGATGTCCAAAACCCTTTTCATTCATATAAGAGCTGTTTCTTCTCTCCTTCTGTGAAGAAGTTTGCATACTCGTTGATAACAAACGGTAATCTCACGGACAACTTCGCGAAGAAAACTGTGTTGTAACGAATTGGGTCATCATGATTGATCACGCTTGGCATGACGCCGTAGAAGGTTATCAGCTCAAGGTGAAACAGAACCAGAAATTTCATCAGCCCCTTTTCAGCAAAATGATTCGATATCACATAATGATACGATTTGAAGGAAACGTGGAGCTGCTGGAAGTATTACAAAGAGACTTGTACGCAAGTGGACATTCAGAATAGACGTAGGGCTCAGAGCTCAGCAGTTGTGGAGAGTCAGATAACAAGGTTCATAAGAATCGACATCACTTATTCTCGAGAATTGTAAATGAAAAGTAACGTTTCTAATGACGAGTTCTGGTGCTAGAATCACAAACGGCAAAAGTAGCAAGCGGAAAAGTTATTGGGGTCTTAATTATCAAATATGAGCTCTCTAGCAACTACAACTACCTAGTGAAGATGCTCAAGATCCATGATTGTAGAACTTTGGACAAGGCTCTGGGAAGCGCGAATGCAAGGGAACTTCAGATATTCGTGAAGCACACGAAGCCTACTAGGCAAAGACTAAAACTCACCTTAAATCTATTCTCGGCTCCAGGCTCCTTGTTTTTATCTGGGTGGTACTTCAAAGCCATCTTTCTGTAAGCCTTCTTGATCTCGTCATCGCTGGCTCCTTTCGCTACTCCGAGGATTTTGTAATAGTCTTTTCCCATTTTCAGCGAGTAGAATACTCTGAATAGGCGGCAATCAACTCGACATAACGACTGTAAAATTCATCTTCAAAGAAAGCGAGAGACACATCCCCGAGAAGAAAAAGAGAATAAATACTGGGAGAGAAAACACTCAAGACCGATGAATCGATGACTTCCCAAGACCTCGACAACTTCCTGATAGAGAGCAGTAAAGAGAGTAGTACCCAAATGACCTAACTTTTACGGGAAAACCTTTTATATATCCCCCGATCAAGAAGAAAGAGCCAACGACTGACAACACCGCAGTCACACGCATGCCGATAGTGCTGGGCGTTCACCATGGCGAGCGCTCTAGAATCTTCGCGGAGTTTCTCTCTGCTCCTGTTACGAAAATCATGTTCGATCTTCCGCTTCCTATGACACGCTACCCGCGACGGCACGATTTGGCTGTTTGTAAAACGCAAGCTGGTATGTTGTCGCTATCGTGTCGTCGTTCGGATCTTTCAATCGAGACAATGGAGTTCCATCGGGCAGCACGCCCTTGTTTCTAGTCAAAGGAAGGTTGTCAATGAGATTTCTAGAGTCTACGATGACCTTATAGAAGTTATCACCGATATGCAGGGATCTGTAATGCTGCCGCGCGAGCAAAAGCTTACCGGCTTCGATCAACTGTTGCTGCTCAATTTTTATTTATTATTCGGCCTGTCTGACAGTTCATTTCTGATTGTACTCGCATGAATCTTCGCATATACAAAACTCACGAATATCTTTTGAAGCCACCTCAGCAAATCATTTCATCTTTTTTTCTCACTTTACCTTAGAAGAAAGTTTTATTGGAAAAGCTTCTCTTCTCTAAAAGTCCATCTCCTCCATGTAGTGACAACAGAGTCCATGCCATCTGGTGGAATTTGTTGCTCTGTTTTGAAGTCCCTTTAGCAGAGTGCTGACAACTTGCCAAAGATCGCCTTTATTGTGTAAGCTAAACATGTCGCCATCTCCCCTGTTCTCTCCCTCTGCATAACCACGGTCTTTTTCGCTGAGGATGATGGGGCGTGGCGTGTCAGTGGAGCTGGCTTTAGCACAGCGGCAAAACCATTTTCCACCTTTTTTGAAGCAGGTAAGCGACAAAAATTGGTGGAAAACGGCTGCCATGAACGATGTGATACAGTCTTGTCGCTAGCCCTCTCGAACGA